AAAGTATGTGCTGATGGAGCGCCACTAGTTAAGTGATTCTGTAAAAAAATAGAGTGGAGAGATAGTCACGATTTTTATTTTCCTCCATTCCGTTCTCCTTGACCTTTATTCATTTTCTGTTGTAGACGGATTATGCAATTACAATTAAACTCCTTAATGTATCCACGACTTGTGAGACCATACCGAAAAATTGGTTCGCGGCAAAACACGTCCGTCTGTGCTAACTCTACAGAGGTGGCCAAATTATTAAGGCTATTGCACGAATGACATTACAGCCAACAGAATTTCAAAATGCGCCAAATATTGAAAATAACTGAAGGCATGTTGAAATCAGAGTTTATAGTTCATTCGCGTTACACGTCGATACATACCGCTTCCTAAAGCCTGTTTTACACGATTTTTTTTTTTTTTCGGCCGGTACAGAAAAGAGGCAGACCAGACCGAATGTAATTTGTACGAAATCCTTCTAATCTGTTCCAAAAAATGTCGCATGCTTCATTTTTCGGAACATTTCATCCAATTAGTCTACCGCGCTCCTGGCATTACTTTTCGGAACTTTCACTGGTGTGGATTTCTTCATTTTGTACAGTTTTGAGAGCAGTATGATGTGTTGAATTGCAATGTGAAGTGATTATGTAGCGAGGAATAAATTATGTACTGTGCCATCGCGCCTGCGCTTATTCCTAATATAACGTAACTTAATTTTTTACCATAGATGCGATGATCAAATGTTTGATCTTCAACGCTTTTTGTGGTGACCAGAGGAAGCACTTTCATCACGAGTACGTACAAGATCAGAAATGACCCTGTAAAACGCTGTGATCATTTTTATCCAGTTTCGCGTAGAAACGAACGCCCTTTTCCCATCTACTTTCTGTACAGAAAATGATGCAACTAGTGGTGCTACTGAATGGCACAGACTTTCCCGTATTAATTTTCTATTTCTTTTGGTCTCGGATAGCTGTTTGAACTTGGCACATACTCTTTTCAGCTGCCATCTATCGTTGCCCAAAGTAGTAGGTTTTTTTTTTAGTTTCGTAATTGTAGAACAGAAATATTATTTTAAGGGTATCAAAGAACAGTAAAACCTCTTCGTGAATGGCAATTTTCTTTGAAAAATCTGTAGCCGATTTTGAGAAAATGTCGTTTACCTTTGAAATTTGAAGCGCAAATATTAATGACGTGAGAGTCAAGACAAAAACATTGCGTTTTTGTAATTTTTGGAAAAGAGAATAGAACATTATGGCGTATTTGCCACCTTATAGAGTGCATTTAGCATTATCCCTACAAAAGGTTTAAAGAAAAAAAAATTGGAGCAGTTTTTGTGAAAATCATGTTTTTGTAATTTTTTAAAATTTCACAAATTGCGCGAAAACTACTAATATTTTTAAAAAATATACATGACCTTAATGAAACAACTCATTATGAAGAACAATGTCCTTTGAAGGAAAAAATCTTCAATTTTGTAGTTACAGGAAAACGCGAAAAAATCAAACTTTTGCAATTTTTGAAAATTCAGAGTTAACCACAAATTTGGACCTATGCTACTTTTATAAGTGTATTTCCTTGGGTCTTGACTAGCTATTCGGACTTGCCACATACTCGTGCCATCTGCCATCTATCGCCACCCAGAGTACTTTTTTTTAAAACATTTTCTTAATTTTTCGGTTTCCTAATAGATGAAAGGAAATATAATTTTAAGAATATTAAAGAACAGTAAATCTAGCCCTACATGGCAATTCTCTTTGAAAAATTGTGAGCCATTTTTAAGAAAATGGCGTTAAAGTGCTACTGTAAATTCAAAATTTGAAGCTCTATTTCAAGGAAAATTTGTGAGTTTTTGAAAAACTTCATTAGAAGTCATTTGAAGCATTTTAACTCACAAATACAATGGTGTTTACAAATGTGCTGGAAATATGTATATTAACATCATGAGGGATTTTGAAAGAGAATTACATTTGTGTACTTTTTGAAGAAAAAAAAATACCTCCAAATGAACATCATATTAAAGAATCCAATAAGCACTATCCGTTCAAAAAGTTTAAAGGAAAAAAGTCATTTATGAGAAAATGCCTGTCTGAAAATGTGAAATTTTGTGCTAGTTTTCACAAAAAACGCTTTGAGTTTTCGAGTAACTAAAGCACATGTACTTTAAATATAATAATGTGAACAAATCGCTGCTAATGTGAATATTAACGATGTGAAAGAAAAGGTTTTTTTAAAAAAAAGGTTTTGTTAATTTCGAAATAGAAAAAAAAAAAAAAAAAGAATAGAGCAATATTGCATTTGTCATCTTATAGACCACATTTAGCATTATCTCTTCGAAAAGTTTAAAGAAAAAATTCGGAATTTTTTAGAAAATGTACACAACCTTGATCAAATAATTCACTATGAAGGACAAATTTTATTTCAAGGAAAAAATCAAACTTGCCGAAAAGAAATAAAACTTATCCAATTTTCGAAAATCCAGAGTTATCCATGAAAATCGGACCTAAGTCAGCTTTATAAGAGTATTGTCTCTGTACAAGAAATTAAAAGTAAAAATCTATAGCCGTTTTTGAGAAAATTTTGATAATTGCCGGGGGACTTCACGTACAGTACCCACTAATTATGAAGAACGTTTTTCAAAATCGCAGCGCCTCGTGTGGAGTCAGATCGACCGTGGAATATCCAATGTGGAGAAAATCGTACGTTGAGGCGCTAGCGGTGTTCACAGACGGACGGATGTTTTGGAGTCAATTGGTTTTTTGTCTCTGTCTCTTTATTGTCAATCGTCCTTTTTGTCTCAGTGTCAAGGGCCAACAAAACAGGTTCTTGCTACACCATGCGTTATAAGATTTTTTCCTTAATTTAGCAACTGGATATATCCACTTTTTCTTTATATGGGTCCAGCAATGGATTTTTTCTGCCGAAAATCCGCAGTTTTTCGTGCAGCATTCCATAACTTTCCCTATACTACGTATAATACTCCGTATAAACGTATGTATATGGGAAAGTAAAAAGGATGAAAAAAGGACTGTGTAAAACAGACTTAAGATAGACGAGTCATAGCTTATTATTGCCCAGTAGGGAGGTGCGGTACAAAAAATCTGATAGAAAAAATGAGAAATTTTAACTTTGTCGCTACTGCTTACCATTGAGCTGATTTTCTTCAAATTCGATATTCCTTAATCGATCTGGCTGATGTCATGACCCTTTGAATTTGAAACCGATTTTTAGTTTTGGAGGGCACTGTACTTGAAACCCCTGAAACATTTTCATTTTTTTTTAATGGCTTCAAAGTTTTTGATTGAATTTTGTTGTTGGATGATGTTTAAGAGAATGGTGCAGATCTCGTGTTCGTTAAAATCCCTGATTTTTCGAAAAAAAGGAAAAGTTTAAAAAATGTATGTCTTCTTCTTACAACTAAAATATTAAAGATTGATTTTTTCTCCTTAATCAAATCTGTTCCTCAATGATAAATTTTGAAATAAGGTCATGTACAATGTATGGAAAATTTTAGTACTTTTCGAGTGATTTTGCATGAAAGTACAAGCTGTTTTAGTACCAATAATTTGAGATACACTGCACTGATTGGGATATTTTATGTGTATAGTTAAACACTGTTGGTTTTAATTCCATGTGTGGAATATTTGTAGTAATTTGATCACCTCTGTAAACTAGCATTTGATCTCGTAGAACAATCTTGCCCGGCTCGAACTCTGTGGTTTTGAAGAGAATTATGTAAATTTTGGGGGTTCATGTACATAAAGTCTGTGGAACAGATTCAAAATTTTCTCAAAGTTGGCTCCAAATATTTTCTTTAACTTTCTTGTAAAAACAAAAGTGATATTTGGTCCGATTTTTCACTGTTAACTATGATTTTTTTAAAAATTTTTATTTATTTATTTTATTTTATTTTTGTGGAAGTAGAAGTTTTGTGGCGTTTCCAATATCTTCAGTATCATGTATAGATTTTTTCTTCACATAAAGTTTCTTCTTCATAATTTGTTCTTGAATTAATATCATGTATGTTTTTAAAAATATTAGTAGTTTTCACGTAATTTTGTGTGAAACATGGGCAACTTGAACAAGTGTAAAAAAGATTTTCTCAAAAACTACTACTTTTTTTCCCTTCACTTTTTGTACACTAAATGCACTGTTTAAGATGACAGTTGCCATTTTGCTTATTCTTTTATGTTTATAAAATTTACACTAACATATATTTTTTTTAAATATCTCTCCTATAGTTAATACTTATATGGACAGTGATATTTTTGCATGTATGTGCTTTAAATTATGTTTTAAAAAGTTTAAAGTTTCCGCATTTTTAAAAATGACCGAATGACATTTTCTAAAAAAACGTTTTCATTTAAAGTTTTTGTATAGATAGTCTCAAATGCGCAGACATTACTAATGTATACTATACTAATAATACTAATAGTCTGAATAAAATGAAAAATGCCCTTTTTCTTCAAAAATTACACAAATGTAATTTTTCTTTGAAAAATCTCTCATGTTGTTAAGATTTATATTGCGGAAGTGTTTTATAAATTATTGCACTTGTGAGTAGAAGTGCTCAATTTATTTTTATAATGAAGTCTCTCAAAAACTTTTCTGTGAAAATGAGCTCAAAACCACACCTTTTCAGTTTCTGAAACAACACTTTCTCTAAAACGACTCCGCACTTTTCAATGAAAATTTGCATATTAGACCAGATTCTATATTATTTTTAAAGTCATATTTCAGTTCTACCATTAAGAAGCTCCAAAGTTGACAAAATTTGAAAATTCCATGTCCATTATGTGGCATTAGATGACAGATGGGAAGAGGGTGTGACAAAACCAAAAAGGTAATCCGAAGTAAAGGGCATAGGAAACTAACTATTGGGGGAAGGCTGTACACCATAGATAGTAAGATTTTAGGGTAGATTACAATAAAACAAATTGTCTTTTATAATTATATTATCGAGAATTATGTTAATTTTGTTTCCCAAGATTAAGTGTGCTCATTTGTTACAGTTCGTTGCCAGTTTACAATACTTCAGCTCCACCCCACACTTTGCAACACCCTCCTCAGCCAGGAGTGTTTGGCCCTCCAGGCTCTACTCCGAGTCAGCATCAGCATCAACCACCCCCGCCATCGGGGCCCCCTTCGACTCCAGGCCCTAGCTACCCCCCGAATGGGCAACCTCTGCTGTGAAGATTGCAAGGAAAATAACTGGAAGAGTCAGCAGGTAGCCTTTGCACATGATTGTGCTGTGCTTCTGCATCAACTTACTCCTTTTCATTGGCAAACAGCTCATGAGGATGTGGTTCAGTCCTTCTGAATTTTCTTCCTCCTAATGCTGCTCTCTTTATTTTAGTTGAGAACTAAATTGCAATTTTTATTTTCTGTTTTACAGTTTTCCTGCTGAAATTTTCTCTTCTTTTTTTCATTGGTTTATTTCAGAACACATTTTATATCTAATTCAAATGCTGAACTCAGATTGTAATTGATTTCTTGTACATAAAGAGATTTTATATGTATGTGTGTGTGTATACATATACATATACATATACATATATATATATATATATATATATATATATATATATATATATATTTTATTTGCTCTTGCTGACTTATTGAAATGATGTCATTTTGTTGTTGGCCAGGAAAGGCTTCATATTTCCGCAAGCTGTACCTGGATTTCCATTTAAAATTGAATTGTCCTTGTGGCCTTAAAATAGTTTAGTATATTGCATTGTTTGAGTTGCCTTGAATAATACTTTGCGGGTCTGTGTTGCAATAGTTCTTGTGCATCGTTTTGTGAATAAATGGCCTGTGTGTGTGAGAATTTAGCAATGTATTTGGTACTTGAGAAAAACTACATTCCTTTGGTTCTCTGTCATAGAACTCAATCTCTTCTACCTATAACAAAGTCAGTTGCCACATTTTGGTAGATTGATTTTGTTTGACTGGTAAGACAGTTATCTATTCCCATTTATAGTGCAAAATTTGGTATATACAAGAACAGTGTCATACATGTTTTCACTAACTGTAATGTTGAAGTTTACAATTGTATATAAGCCTGTATAAGGAGAAACGTTTGCTATATTGTATTAAATCGTTGTACATGACTTCATGATTGGTTTTTTTAAATGACTACCCTAAATGGAACCTCTTTTTTGCATGGAAGGAGGGTTGAATCCTGCCATTCAAGTAGGAATATGAACCAGTAAATCTCAGGAGAATGTTCTGTGTAGGACATAAATTTTCTGCCAATTTTTGATCAAGTGCTTCTTAAATAAAAGGTTTCAGAGTAAATGCTTTTGTGGATGAGGTAAATTTCAAAAGATAAAACCATGGTAAACTATCCATAGAGCCAAGTTTTGTCAATTGTTCCCCATGTTAATTGACCTGACTTGTTCAGTGAAGTTGTGATGATCCACCAGGAAAACTCAGGAAAGACTAAATTGGAATAAACATTTATAAAAAATGCGCTTGAATGTATTGAACCAAAGCTGCATGAAATATCCACACAAATAACCCAAAAAACAAATGAGACTTCCAAATTTTCAGCTCCCTACCATTTCTATTCCATTGCATGAAAAATTAGTTGTTTTTTTTTCTAAACTTCATAAAAACATTTTTTGTTTTAATTAGATTAGGCTACAGAATAATAAAAATAATAAATTATTTAGTTATTTGAACTGAAGAAGTTTTGAATTTTGAACCACTTCAACCAGTATTTTTTAATTTGAAAATCATTGGAAATAATACCCCAGAAAAAATAATTTAGGCCCTATGCATTGTTACTGCCCTATAATGTATAAATTCAGAATGCATAGAACTCTAATAATAGACAGATCCAGAGATAAATTTTGGTAGGGGAAATTCAAAATGTTTTAATCGAATGTAGTAATACATATTAAGTAAAATGTAACAAGCTACACTCGGCTCATGCTGCGATACGATTTTATTCGTTTTAATGATTATCCGAAAATATTTTTGTTTGAAAGTTTACTGGCCGCCAGTTAAAGACACGCTGGCTCGCCGGCATGTCAGACAAGGTAAGCGTCATGTCTTTGTTGCAGTAACGTTTCTGTTGCCCAAGGCCTCGCAATCCTCTGGTAATGGGCCGTCCTTCCCCGTTACAAATTGAAGATTGCGCAGCCATGTTGGCAAATTCACGCGCTTAATTCAAATACTTCGAAATTTTACGAACTTTTTCGCATTTTAAAGGTCTGAAGTGGAATGATATAATGAAATACAGTACTAACTATAGCAGAGCCTCGGTAGTTCGAGGTGTACGAGACCGGACCTAACTCGAATGATCGAAAATGATTAATTTATTAAAATAGAAATATAAAAACAACTTTAAATTTCAAAGTATGTGTATTTTAAAAAAAATGGAGCTGCATAATATTACCGCAATAATTGCAGAAGGTAAGTTAATTACAACTTAAAGTAAATGTCAATTGTTTTGTGTTAAGGTACGTTGTACGTGCGGCATCTGAACATCACATTGTCAGCTGGAGTTGCCTCAGGTTTTGGTTCTACGTACTTTATAGCGACCTCTAGCATAGCAAGAACCTCGTTGTGATTCACACGCGGTGTGGGATAATTTAAGCCCTCGTTATTGTCATCCTGATCTACTACATTAATCGTATCAACTAGAGCTGCATTCGTAAATTCTAGTCGTTCGTCATTATTTGGCTATTCTTTTAACACAGAAATATGTTTTCGCACTCTGGGATTTTTTAAAGTAAATTATACAAAGGAACATCGTCTCCATCAATGTCCTAATGAGTATTACTTCTGTACCCTCGTTCTTCAAAATTTTATTCCGAGATTTCAGAAATGAATCTGAGATTATTTCGTCACAGTCCAATCCCAGTGCACCAGTCACCCAGTACACTTCTTTAACGGTACTAACTTTCTTCAACGCATAGTTTCTTCACCTGTGAATTTTAGAATAGAGTACTGCAAACTACGGCTATTCTTTTTTTTTTTTAAAGCATTGTAGAACTCCTTGATCCAGAGGCTGGTTTCAACTGGTTGCGTTTGGGGGTAACAGTATGGCACGAATTCTGCCGCAATTTCATTCTCATTTGGATGGGAGCATGCGTTATGAAGCACCAAGGTGGCCTTGCAAGATAGATTTCTTTCTTTTTCGTTTTTTAGAACTGTTGGGACAAAATTAGAGTAAAACCAGTTTTTTTTAATATCTCTTGTATCATTCAACCACATTTTTGGTTTCCCTACGTAACCAGTAGCGACTATATGCAAACGTATTTAAAGCCTCTTGGCTTAGTCGATTTTCCAAGTTTCATTTTGTGACTTCCTGATGCATTTGATGTTGCAAGTGTTAATCTCTCTTGGCTCTTTTTGTGACCTGGAGCACTTTTCTCTTCAAGAGACGCGAGTTACTTTAGTAGGTAGCATTTTAAAATTAAGGCCAGTATAATCGGAATTCGAAAGCTGGTCATTTGTAAGTTTTTCAATTTTCACAATCTCTTGTAATTTTTTTGTAAAATTTTATGACGGCTTCAGAATAAGCCGATAATGTCTCTACACATCTCTAATTGCCGAATACTGTACCTTTTTTCCCACTGTCAAACCAGCCTACACTAGCAGTGAAATTTTTAGTATATCCCTCATCAAATTCTTTTTGAAACACCAAAGCTTTTTCTTGAAGAATCGGACCTCAAAGAGGGAATTCTCATTGCCGTTGTTGGGTAAACCACATGAAAATGCCTCATCAGTTTTGTCATATTCAGATTTTTTCAAAGATTTTCTGACCAATGATAAGTTTGAGGACTAGGAACATCTTCCAATTTTGCTTCTCTTTTTACGCCAATCACCAACCGTAACTTCACCTACGCCATATTCGACTGCAAGTTTTTTAAAGGTTTCCCCTTATTCTGTCTTTTTAATTGTTCTAATTTCACTGCTAATAGAACGAATTTCTTTTTCCGTTTTGTAGAGACTATCATGGAAAAACAAATTCTATGAACTAAATTAAAAAATCATTCAAATGTGACTTCCATTGCGTGTGCTAGTACTAAACTAATTCTTGTTTGACCGATTGGGCGAATAACAATGCAGGTCATTACCAGAACCGTGTAATAAGATATTTTTTCTGGCGAAATTCCGGCGTTATCTGGCGCACGATTACATAACTTTCTCTTCTCACGAAGAATTCGTAAGGCGCGAAAGTATTAATAATTTCAGGACCATTAGCGATATCTAAGTTGGTCCCATGGGTACTTTGAAAGTCACATACACTTCCAGTTTATTTATCTTAATTCTATTTGTGATCAGAATTCTTCAAATGCTTTTCAATAAAGGTGCTGGAATTTTCAATTATTTCCTTCGGCATCAGAGAATAGTGGCAAATAATATTCTCCGACCAAGTCTCGGACCAGCGAAACTTCTCTCCGAAACTCTTGAGTCCATCTCGGCCACCCGGGTGGTTCATGGGATTTTCACTTATATAATAGTAATAAGAGTACGTTGGTTTCAGTTCGAGCATTAGGAAGCTGCAAAATCGAGAAAATGTCCATTGGGCGACCAAAGAAGGTATCTGAGAAGAGAATCAGACATAACCGAAAACCTAGTTCAGACTTCAGAGACTAGAAAACTAAAAACAGCAAGAAAGCTGTACCATTCTACAGCACCACTAGATTAATTTATTTATCATACTCTGTTACATACCATGCTTTAATAAAACTATTTCCTACGGGTTTTCAGAATTTTTTTAGAAATAGCATAACTTTCAGACACTAATTAAACGAAATCTGCTCTTTTTTTTTTTTTTTTTTTTAATACATAACCATTTTTAAAGATCTCATTTTCTATAACAGACTTTGTTTAAACCAAAAATTGCTATTTCCAATTTTGTAGTTTTGAAAAGTTCACGTTCTTTTGGCATTTTCGACAAAAATGAAGCTATAGCCGAAAATAAGACTGGCAACATATTTTTTACCGTCCCTGAGAAAATAAAAAAAAGATTTGGAGTAGTTTTTGACAAATAAATCTCAAGCGCGAATTTCGCAAAAACTACTCGTTTTTTCACAAATTTGTAACAGACTTTTTACAATAGACTTTGAGGAAAAAATCTCTATCTTCAATTTTGTAGTTTTAATTTTCCAAAAATCTAACGATACCTTAAAATGAGGCTAACACCGTATTTTTTTACCATCTTTTATTATAAATATAAATCAATAAAATTTAAACAAACAATTTTGAGAGAAATACGATAATTTCAAGTGCAAATTTCACAAAAACTACTCATTTTCTCAAAAACTTGTACATGGCCTGAATTAATTTTTTACAACATACTTTGAGGCAAAAATTTCGATCTTCAATTTTGTAGTTTATATTTATTGCAATTTTCGTAAAATCGGGGATGTCAACGAAAAACGAAATCTGAACCATTCTCTTAAACATCCTTCGCACTATAGAAAATAATGAAAAAAGTTGGGACAGTTTTTGAGAAAATTTTGAAAATGTTTTTGAAGCTTCGCGTGAATTACCCTCAAAAATAAAAATATCCGTTATCCCAAAGCCACAAGTTCATTAAGATCGACTGAGGAATATCAATTTTGAAGAAAATCGGCTGAACTGTTTAGGCGCTAGCGTTGACCAGACCGACAGACGGACGATTTGCTGTCAAATGACTTTTCATTATCAAGAACCAACAAAACATGAATTCTGGCTCCACACGAGCCAGAAGATTTTTTTTTTCTAAATTTATCAACAGAATTTATCCACTTTTTCGTTACCAGAACCAGGAAATAAGTTTTTTCTGGCGAAATTTCGGCGTTTTCTGTCACACGTTTATGTAACATTCTCTTTTTACGAAGAATTCATGAGGCGAGAAAGTAAAAACATATGTAGTAAACTTGTAATGTCTTGGTCATTTTTTCTGGAATTAATTTGTTTTTATTTATATTTTTGGTAAGTCGGATTTAATTCGGTTTATGGGAAACTAGAACAATTGAAACTCGAAATATACTGTATTTGTTTAAAGTAAGATATGCAAAACTAACATTCATACGTCAAATTATATCTCTTACATACTACCATATGTCTTTATCATACATAACAACCTTTTTAAAGGTCAAAAATGACTGTTG